TACAACACATTATGAATGCAATGCATGATATGAATAAAAGAGGAGGTGGCAGGAAGTGGAGATTGTGGATATATAACGAATGGCCATTGAGGTCTTGAATGTTTCAGGAAGCACCCACAAACTTGCAGTTCTTGGGGGAAAATCTGTCTGAACTGAACTTTCCTATTATAATGTACAGAATTTTATATATCAACAAAGAGTATTTAGAAAAATATGACAAAATGGAAGATTTCTTGTAACGCGTTTCATCCGAGAAATCCAAAGTAATGGTGAATAGCACTAGCAGGAACGCCTGTGTCAACATTACCAGAAATAGGAATTCACTAGAGGAATTGTCCAGTTTTAAATATTTAGGAGCAATCTTGTCTAAAGATGGTACCTACATCTCGGAAATCCGCAAACGGATTGCCGCAGCCATAGCAACGATGGTCAAATTAACAAGAATATGAAAGAGTAAAATCAACTTTCAAAGTAAACACTGTACAAATCGTTGGTAGTCTCCATTATCTTGTATGGATGTGAAACATGGACACTGTTGGCAGATACAGAGAGAAGGACCCAAGCGTTTGAGGACAAATGCATGAGAAAACTCCTTGACGTCTTCTATTGGGAATATGAAATCAATGAGTTTCTGCGGAAAAGGGTTGAAAGTTTTGTGGGCCAACAGGAACATCTCGCTACGGTCACACAGAGAAAAATGGCGTGGTTTGGACACATTACAAGGCACGACTGCCTGAGCAAGACAATCATGAAAGGCACCGTTGAAGTATTATTATATTAGATTCTAATTATATGGATGTGAAACGTGGACACTGTTGGCAGATCCAATGAGAAGGATCCAAGCGTTTGAGAACAAAAGCATGAGAACTCTTTGACATCTTCTATTGGGAATATGAAACCAATGTGTTTGTGCGGAAAAGGCTTGAAAGTTTTGTGGGTCGCCAGGTACTTATTCTCGCCACTGTCAAACGGAGAAAAATGGCGGAGTTTGGACACGTTACAAGGCATGACAGCCTGTGCAAGACCATCGTGCAAGTCACCGTTGAAAGTGGACGTAAGAAAGGACGCAAACGCAAAAACTGGTTGGACAATACCAAAAAATGGAGAGGTACGAGTTTACCAAAATTGCTGATGGCTGCCGTTGCTAGACCATTGTGGAAAAGAGTTAGTGTGGCTTCTTCATTAGGATCCGTCCTACGATTACAAAAGTCAAAGGGATGATGATGATGATGATAGCTTGAAGACGGAATACATTAAGGTGATTCGACACTACAGCTTTGGCGAGAAGAAACGTTTTTCGGGGGTATTTGTGCGTAATTGAATGCAATGGACTAGCCTTGAATTCTCTTTGCTTAATCTTCCATACCATCTTCGTAAGAAATCTTTGTTTACCAAGCAGCTAGAGAATAATCCTAACAGATGCACCTTTTTAGATTACAAAACAAATTGAATTTAAATTTAAAGTTAATTTAAAACTTGTAAAATATATCAATAAATTACCCTCTAGAAAATTTCAATATCACATGAAAAATCTAAAAATTAGAGAAAAAAATTTAGAAGAAAGAAAAATACCTATGTAGCATATGGAATAGTCCTTTCTTCCTTCCTTAAGTATCGTGGGTGATGCTCGCCTGGGTGAGCATGTCTCTTTTCAATTTATGATTGTTTGACACACGCAAATATAGGATCCAGTCTATCTTGCGATTTAACCCGTAGCTGGAGGAGAAGCAATAGATACAGGGGTTGGACAAATTAATTGGACCAGGTGCAAAATCCACTCCTATATTTCAAAGACCTATTATATTAAGAACTTTAACTTTGTAATTGCAGGTTATATCTATTGTAAATACGTTTATTTATCTAATTTACTGTCTTTGTCTTATTTATTTTTAGAATTTAGTAAAATTTAAGCTAAATGCGTGACCTCTCCGAGTTCGAAAAAGAGCAAATTGTTCGAGCTCGATTGGAAGGAGCCTCGATCACTAAGGTTGCTGAACTGTTTGGTTTTTCAAGAACTACCATATCAAGAACACTGATGCAATTCGAGTAACAGGGCAAGACCTCTAGCAACCGTAGCAATTCAGTCCGGACTTGCAAACTTACTGACAGGGACTGACATGCATTGAAATGCAATGTGGCAAAAAATCATCGGACAAATGCGACCAAAGTGACTGCTGAGTTGAATAACCATCTGAATAGTTCAGTTTCTACTAAAACTGTTCACCGTGAGCTCTATAAGGCTGCATATCATGGAAGAGCTGCTGTGAGGAAACCTCTTCTCTCCACTCGCAACATTCAAAAGACGTTGAAGTGGTGCAGAGATCACAATGCCTGGTCTGCAGGCCAATGGAAGCAAGCCATATTCTCAAACAAGTCCAGTTTTTCTCTTTGCCCAACTTCAGGGTGGGATTATATGTGGAAGCATCCCAAAGAAGCTTACAACCCTGATTGCCTTCTTCCAAAGGTGAAGCATGGAGGTGGATCAGTGATAGTTTGGGCCGCCATATCATGGAAATGTCTCAGTCCAATAGTTGTCCTGCATGGTAGAATCAACAGCAAAGATTACCTGAACATTTTGGGAGATCATGTTCATCCAATGGCCAAGACTTTATACCCTGATGGTGACTGCATCTTCCAAGACGATAATGCTCCAATACATACCGCTCGATTGGTTAAGAATTGGTATGAAGAGCATGAAAGTGAGCTAGAATACATGGAGTGGCCCCCACAAACTCAAGATATCAATATTATTGAACATTTGTGGTGCATTTTGGAGCAACAAGTTAGAAGCCGCTATCCTCCACCGTCGTGTGGTAAAGAGCTGGAGAAGGTTTTAATGGAAGAATGACTGAAAATTCCTCTGGATGAAGTCAGGAAGCTGAATGTTTCCATTCCTAGACATATTAAAGCTGTTTGTGAGGCTAATTCCATATTAAATAAATTTTCTTTGAATTTAACAAGTGTTCCAATTATTTTCTCCAACCCCTGTAAATATATTTTCTAACGGTATCCCGCGCAAGTGAATGTAATGAATTTGACTGGAATTCGAACTCGGCTGTCTGAGTTCTCATTCGCACCAACCTCAAATATATGGACTTTTACGCATACAAAACTTGAATATTCTCCGCGTTTTTCTATTTATTTTGAGCTTGAAGCATTTTGTTCTAATAAAAACGTAATTTGCCCACTTATTTAAATTTCCTCATATGCCATTATATACTTAAATTGAATTTCCACAGCAGGGAGCCTATTATACCCTTTTTCTAGGTTTCTGAAAGCAAGAAAGCAGCATTAACCTCTGTCATGTACCCGGATAGTTTTTTTTTAAGGAACATTGCCATTACAAAACCTATTATAGAAGATGTCATTCACGAAAACCATTAGTCAATATGGAAGAAATTACGATACTGAAAATAATATTGTTCCAAACTTAAGGACCGAGTTAATCATAATTAGGCAATAATAATATCGATAAAGCTGCTAAGCAATATTGGTATTTTATTACGAGTTTTATTCCATATTATAATTGTTACTTTCTATCTGAAAACTCTGGCTCTATACACTCTTCATTATTACTATTATTTTATTACTAGTTTTATTCCATCTTATTATTGTTGCTTTTTATCCCAACACTCTGGCTCTATACACTCTTTATTATTACTATTATTTTATTACTAGTTTTATTCCATCTTATTTTTAATATTTTTTATCCCCAAATTATTGTTCAATAAAGACAACATAATAATTATTTTATTTTATTTATAATTTTACTATGATAAATGATTTCCAATGCATTTTCAAAGTAAAAAATCATTGCCAATTCATTTTAATAGTAAAAATCATTTCCAATTCATTTTAATAGTATAATAATTTCCAATGCATTTTCATAGTAAAAATCATTTCCAATGCATTTTCATAGTAAAAATCATTTCCAATGCATTTTCATAGTAAAAATCATTTCCAATGCATTTTCATAACAAGAATCATTGGCCAATGCATCTTCATTGTAAAAATCATTTCCAATGCATTTCCATAGTAAAAATTATTTCCAATGCATTTTCATAGTAAAAATCATTGGCCAATTCATTTTCATAGTAAAAATCATTTCCAATGCATTTTCATAATAAAAATCATTTCCAATGCATTTTCATAGTAAAAATCATTTCCAATGCATTTTCATAGTAAAAATTTTCAATGCATTTTCATAGTAAAAATCATTGGTCAATGCATTTTCATAGTAAAAATCATTGGCCAATGCATTTTCATAGTAAAAAACATTTCAATGCATTTTCATAGTAAAAATCATTGGCCAATGCATTTTCATAGTAAAAATCATTTCCAATGCATTTTAATAATAAAAATCATTTCCAATGCATTTTCATAGTAAAAATCATTTCAACGCATTTTCATAGTAAAAATCATTGTTCAATGCATTTTCATAGTAAAAATCATTTCCAATTCATTTTCATAGTAAAAATCATTTTCAATGCATTTTCATAGTAAAAATCATTTCAATGCATTTTCATAGTAAAAATCATTTCCAATGCATTTTCATAGTAAAAATCATTTCCAATGCATTTTCATAGTAAAAAAAATGCATTTTCATAGTAAAAATCATTGGCCAATGCATTTTCATAGGAAAAATCATTGGCCAATGCATTTTTATTTTCATTTAGTAAAAATCATTGGCCAATGCATTTTCATATAGAAAAATCATTGGCGAATGCATTTTCATAGGAAAAATCATTGGCCAATGCATTTTCATAGTAAAAATCATTGGCCAATGCATTTTCATAGTAAAAATTATTTCCAATGAATTTTCATCGTAAAAATCATTAGCCAATCCATTTTCATAGAAAATTTATCAATACATTTTCATAATAAGTCATTGACCATTGGTGAGTTGTGACAGATGGCTTTGTATTCCGATGGGATGGTTTTATTATCCCTGAGTGCAAGACATCACATGAAGCCCTGTGTCTGTTGCAACGTAGTAAAACGCAATAGCGTGAAAGATAGACGCGTCTTTTGCCCAAAAGACGGCGCTGCCACTACCGCAAAGAGAACCACATAACAGAAGTATAGGAAGGTGTCGAGGCAGGTACTTGTAAGTGGCACATTTTTTGTAGTTTTTTAATAGCCAGTTGAGGAGAGCATGAAGCGTATGTAGCGTTACCTGAAGCAGCCGTTATGTTAAGAGGAGAAACACATCAACGGTGTACGGCAGAGAATGCATATTATAACTCTGCATGCTGCTATTCTTTTATTATCCCATTTCTTTTTGCTGAAGCCTGAATTGCGTGGATGCATTCGACTTCTTTGACAATTAAACGAATCCACCTTCCTACATATCGGTTTTGTGTTGCAACTGAATATAGCTACGTGGTCGACATGTAAGTGCGAATGCAGCTATGGTGGGGTTTATGTGATAAGTGTGCATCTGGTAAACAAGACAACCTTTAATGTAATGTCTTAGTAATGGCAAGTGGATACTACGACGACTTTTAAATAAACAAAAATGAAGGAACCTACAATGCAGCTGACATAAAGATGTGTACATTGAGTTTAAACTTGACCGACCATGTGCTATAGGAGTCCTGCGTAGTTAATATATTTAGCTTTGTTTGTTGGAGAGTAAACGTAAACGTTATCCTTACTCCTGACTCGGGAGCAGCCTACGTAAAGCTGTCCTTGGGCAAAACTCTGTTCACCTAAATGCAGACCCGTGACGCTGAGCGTCTGCCCTTTCGATTGGACCATTGTTGTTGATCCGTGCTCGCCATACCCCCAGGGCAGACGCAGTAAAATCGGAATTCCTCAAACGACGAATAGCGGTTAGTTGAGGTTGTTCCGAAACCCTGGAAGATGCTGTAGCCCTAGCATTCCTAAGACGACGCGAAATGGTTTGTTCAGGGCTTTCTAAAGCTCTAGAACATGCTGTAGCGCTAGCATTTCTTAAACACCGAAGGATTGTCTGTGTTGGGGACTCGGAAGCCCTGGCCCTAGAAACTCAAATTGCGTCCTGTGAATTCTGTACTAAACGCTCTTCAGTTGAAAGTCTAGCGCGTCGTGATGACATAACTGATGCTACTGATGCCAGCCTTTCAGTCTGTTCAGCGGTACTTTCCGTGGATATGCGGGCAGCAGAGCGTGAGGCCATCTGAGAAAGGTGCATTGAAGTTTGCGCTGTGGTTTCACTTGCCTTTGCTACTCTTGTAGCAGAGGCAGCAGCCGTGCGCCGTCTAAAAGTATTCTTTTCTTAGACGGCATTTTAACCAGTTTTAAAAAGGTAAACGTAATAAAAAGTATGAGGGTTTTTGGAGTGCAAAAAAAATACGTGTAGTCTAAACGTAAGCAGGTTAGAGGAATCCCCGAAATGTATGTAACTGTATCAAAAGGGGATCGAAGACAAAAAAATGTTTAAAAAATTTAACTAAACTAAAATGGTAGTAGGTAATTTAGGAAGTAAATTCGATAAACGCGGAAACGGATGTAGTTATAACTAAGAGGTGTAAACAACAATTTGGATACGTAATCAACAACTTGCGGTTTCCGTAAGAAGCGAACGAAGTGAGCCAAGTGCGGAACAGTAATCGCAGAAGTGTGAACACGCGTGGGAGTTATAGTATAAAGAGGCGGTTGGCCGGTTGACCTTGAGTGCATATACTAAGGTGGTGTACGTACGCACGTGCACACGCGTGTGTAAGAGATGATTGAATGGGCCCAAGTTCAACCGTGCCAATGAGCTCGCAGCAACATTGAGCAGTTGACGCGATTGGTTAACCTCCAGCTGGGTTAGTCAAAGCAGTGCACTATGGCATAAGACGTTTCAAAATAGTATCTGGCGACTTTATTGTATCGGGTTTTTATTGATAAATATGAAAGCTATGTAGTTCCTTATCCCAAAATAGTCACTTCCTTTTTGATTTACGTTGTCACCGATGTAGCGCAGTCTCTCAAAGTCAGCCAATCAGAAAATTGGATTTTCAAGCTTCATTTTTCTTTGAAAATTTTGAGCAGCCAGGAGATATGAGGTAGTTTTATTTGTCAAAAGTTAAAAAAACAAGCGTTTTTAGACTTCTTACGAACAAAATTTGAAGCAATGTTAATTTCGTTTACTGATGGATGATGAAGGCATTTAAATAGCACGAATTTAGATGAAAACGTGCGAAATCTTTTCGGGGCAGCGATGCGTAGTAGTAAAATTATAGCAAGTAGGTGCCTTTTGCTACACATAAACGGCATGAAAAGACGTAACAGTCACCCGGTTTCCCCTTGAATGAAAAAATGCAATCAAATATGAAAAATTGGAAAATTGGACAATTTAGGGTGGGGGCAGATTCTGTCCACTTGGCGTGAAGTGACATGAAATGTGTTAGTGATTGCTCACTGAATTCAATCCTATGCTTTAATAGGCTAAATGGGCTACAAACACCTAAAAAGCAGAAGTTTCTTCTTGTTTTTATTGATTTTTACGGTAAAATTTGACATGTAGCTCTGTAAAGCCCTTTTAAAATGGCCTTGACATTTACTTTACTGTGCAAATGCAGAAAACGTGGAAAGTAATGCATGCCTGCATTGAAACATTAAAAGATCCTTTTTAAAAATTATTAATGTTTTTGTTTCTAATTCTTCCACACCCAGTAAACCCTTGTGTCTTAGTGGCTTTACTGCCTTGCTTGTGGAACTCCCTTCCTGCTCTATGCTTTCCATCCAACTTTAATCTACAAATATTTAAATGCAATATCAATCGCTATCTACTCTCCTCCTGGTTACTCTTTTCTCTTCCCGCTCATTATTAATGTTTCTGTTCTTAATTCTTCCACACCCAGTAACCCCTTGTGTCTTAGTGGCTTTACTGCCTTGCTTGTGTAACTCCCTTCTGGTTCCATGCTTTCCCGTCAACTTTAATCTTCAAATATTTAAATGCAATGTCAATGGCTATTTACTATCCTTCTGATTATGCGTGTATGTATGTTTGCGTAAGTATGAGTGGCGTTCCCGCGACAATCTTCCCTCCTTCTACCACAAAAACACCGATATACACAAACAATTTTATATCGAAAATTTAAAAATTGATCAGTTTTTCTGACGATCGCAAATAGCGTGAAACCTAGGATCACAAACTCACATCAGTCCAACCAAATATGTTAGTTGTATTACTGATATTGAGCACTTTCCAATAAGTACCGCGCATATATAATATATAAACAACATATATAAAAAAATGAATATATATATATATATATATATATATATATATATATATATATATATATGCATAAACATTATACATACATACATACACACACACACACACACACACACATATATATATATATATATATATATATATATATATATATATATATATGTTTCATTAAAGACGACAGACAAGTTTACTACGATTAAGCTTTATAATTAATTATTAAAAGCCAACACTCAGTATATTGTCTACGAACACGTTCACAATGTGCTGACAGTGTTCGTAAAATAAAATATCACTATATTACTAGAATCATACACACAACCCATACACCCAATTAAAAAGCAAAAATAAAATCATACTTGATAATGGCTAAAGGTAAAGCCGAAAGTGCTCGGAATTATAGAACATTTGGACAGTTTCTACACATTTGTCCGAACAGAAGAACAATTAAATGCTTAATCGCAGTACCCTGTCTGTCGTCTTTAATTAACATGTATAAATGAATGATTGCTGCCTAACTACACAATATATAGCTTTCTCTCTATATCTATCTATCTATCTATCTATCTATCTATCTATATATATATATATATATATATATAGAGAGAGAGAGAGATAGAGATAGATAGATAGATAGATAGATAGATACATAGATATTAGTTGTCTGTGCGTTTGTCGATGGAAGATTTTCTATAATTTATGAGCTCGTGTCTTTAAGTGACATAGTGATATATACTTATTAATAGTTTACAGGAGACGATGTTGTGTGGAAAAAATAACCTCGGTGACTGTAATTGCTATTTTTGTAACTGTAGTACACTTGATTGGCCCTGTTCCTAATCACAGAGAATTGATCTCGAAGACATTTACCGATAACAAAATCGTCAATAAATATTGTGGCTACTCGAGTCAACGGGAGAAAGATAAAAGCAATCATTATAAAACAATCTCCAAAACGAGGCTTGTTATGGATAGCGTTGTCTGTTCTGTAATGAAGCGAGATTAATTTGTTAGATGTTCAAGTCTTTTCACATTATTTGTCTCAAAGAAATAATCTAAGTTCAAACAGCCATCAATTTGATAATCGCTTCGTATCATTTTAACGTCTTAATCAAATACATCTTACTAAAAAATAACAAAAAAAAAACAAAAAAAAACGAAACAAACGTCTCTACCATTAAATCTTAGAGGTGACACATTTTTTCATGTCTAATGTTTTTTTTACTATGAAAATGCATTGACCAGTGATTTTTCCTATGAAAATGCATTGTCTAATGATTTTTACTATGAAAATGCATTGGAGATGATTTTTACTATGAAAGTGCATTGGCCAAGGATTTTTAATATGAAAATGCATTGGAAATGATTTTTACTATGAAAATGCATTGGCCAATGATTTTTACTATGAAAATGCATTGTCTAATGATTTTTACTATGAAAATGCATTGGAAATGATTTTTACTATAAAAATGCATTGGCCAATGATTTTTACTATGAAAATGCATTGGAAATGATTTTTATTATGAAAATGCATTGGAAATGATTCTTACTATGAAAATGCATTGTCTAATGATTTTTATTATGAAAATGCATTGGCCAAGGATTTTTACTATGAAAATGCATTGTCTAATGATTTTTATTATGAAAATGCATTGGCCAAGGATTTTTACTATGAAAATGCATTGGGAATGATTTTTATTATGAAATGCATTGGAAATGATTTTTACTATGAAAATGCATTGGCCAATGATTTTTACTATGAAAATTCATTGGCCAATGATTTTACTATTAATATGCATTGGAAAGGATTTTTACTATGAAAATGCATTGGCCAATGATTTTTACTATGAAAATGCATTGGCTAATGATCCACTATTAAAATGAATTGGAAATGGTTTTTATTATACCTTACTGCCAAGACATAATGAAAATGTGTTCCTTCTTAAAATATAGTTCGGCAAAGTTAAGAGCTGGTTCTGAATTTGAAACTACCACCTTTAAAATAAAAATACATGTTTCGTCAGTATAGAAATAATTAAGCAACGGCATATCTACTTTCGGCCCTCCCTATATAATCACCCACAGACAGACTCTTTCCCTGTATCACAGCTCTTCAGTGTGGCTAGACGTCCGATTGCTTCAAGCAGGGATCGAAACCAGACCGACCGTTTTGGTATCAGTCAGAGATCCTACCCCTAGGCTATCGTCGCACTGCAGAGTGAAGAAGAAATTTTAACGTTTTCCATCCGAAATATGCCAGTGGCCCGTAGAGCTCGATTCAGTTGAAGAGAAATGCGTTAATAGCAGTAGGGGGGCACTGTTTTCGACTAAGAATTACTACAACTAGTTTTAAATAAACAAAATGGAACAAATTCGCACAGCGAAACCCGAGTATATAGAGTTGGGTTAATTCAAGAACCACAAGTAAAATCAAACTTTATTAATAAAATAAAAAAAAAATATCTCAATAACCCAAACTAAATAAGTTTCTAGTGAGTATAAAAAAGAAGAATGTTTGCTCACAATCCTTTTAACAGCAACAAAGAACGAACAAAATCAGCTTTCTGTCTCGACAGGGACGGTCGATATATATATATATGCTCTACGGTTGTATTGATCTCTTTTGTTAGTTAGTTGTTTACTCGTATCGGGGTTTTTTCTTTGGGCTTCAGACCTGCGTCTGTGCGATTTTTTGTCGGCAGAAGTTCATGTTTGTAGCTCTTTCTTTTTTTAAAACCTTTTTTTCCCTCGAAATTGATTTGATTAGCAAATAAAAAATTCGAGGGTTTTTCGAAACGAGTCTAGTTATCTATATTTATATGTATATATATATATATATATATAGTTAAACCTAGAGAGCCAAACAAACCTACCAAGGTTTTACCTAAGCGGATCATCAGGGAATGCCGGCTTTCCCTGACAATCCGCTTAGGTGAAACCTTGGTAGGTTTGTCTGACTCTCTATGTTTAACTAGGTCTGCTCTACTTAACGTATTGAGCACTTTATTTAGTTATTTTCCTTATTCATATCGGGTTTTCTTTTTCTTTGGCGTTTGGACTTGCATGCTAGACGATTATTTTCGGCTGACAGACATGTTCTTTGTTCTTTCTTTTTATACCTTTTTGTCCCTTTGGTATTGGTTTGATTATTTGCAAATCAAGACACCGAAGGTTTTCCGGAACAGTATAATTTCTTATACTTATAAGATTATTATAATTCCACTTTATCCACTGTGCCATGTGTCCTTGCGTTGGTTAGATCCAGTGACAGGACCCAAAGAGTTGTGAGTTCAATACCTGGTTAAGCCGGGAGAGAATGTAGAACTGAACTTATTATTTCGCTCGCTGAGGTTAAGGCGGTGGAGAACTTTCAGAGGGGAATTAACAGGAGATAACTGATAACTGACATCCATTAGACATGGCACGTGGAACTAGAAATGTCTACCCCAGCGTG